CAACAAATCATAGAACAAATCAATTTCTTTAAATTTCGAAAAGATTTTCATATTCTATCTTCGAATTTAGTTGATTTCTATACTTACACTATCGTAGCTGTGTGTATGTATTGCTTTGATGGTAGTTATTTCGTCTAAAACACATTCTATTGATTCTGTGTTTTAGTGCCTGATGATTGTTCAAATGAACTTCGACGCTTCATTGAAGCATTATTTATTACACATACTGAAACAAAATTAAATACTCTTGGTCGTCTGACGCATCGAGGTCCATGGTCTTCACCATTGGATGATTCAGATCGTGGTCGATGGTGTGACAAACTTGTTCGTCCATCTCCTCCTCCTCATCATTAATCTGTTTCATATTTGCTTTCTTATTTTTTTTTAACTATTGTATTTGTTATATGATGACTTTCATTAAACATACACATGAAAACAAAAAATAAAAATAAAACCTTTTGTTTTTACATAGGAATGATTATTATTGATATTATCATTGTAGAATAATATTCTAAATTCGAACGAAATCATTTTTCAAAACAACAATGTTTTCAATGAATAAAAACAAGGAAAACAACACAACTAGCATTGCACACTATTCAAATATTGTGTACCAAAAAGTAGTATCTAGTGACGATGTGAATAAAAAATATGTCAGACTCCCTATCTATTTTCTATTGTAGAAATGGGGCATTTACACTACAGATCCATGGGAAGTTTTTATTATGAATAAAAAAGGAGAGGTGGGTGGGGTTAGAAGAATAATCTTTGTAAAGTAATCTAAAAGAATAATGTTTCATATTTCTAGGCCATATTACCATTTTCTCGTCGGGCAGTTCCAGTGAATTTATTTACTGCTTTAAAAACCAAAATGGCATCTCAATTGGATAAAAGTCCTGAAATAAAACAGGATAATTTTCATATCGATGAAAATCAGTACGTGTGTATGAATTCTTTAAATGTATACTGTTCATATATATATATAAATATAGAGTTCGTCTTGATTTTGGTCGATTAACAACAACAACAGAAGGATTTCATCGATGCTCTACACCAAAATCATCCACCATCGGTGATGAAACACAGTTTGTACTATCTTCTATTTGTTTATTGATTATCTAAAATTTGCATTTATTTTTCTAGAGAAATTGTGGACATTAGTAAACAATGTTTACCGTCTGAATCAATCTTCACTGAAGAAGAAGATGAAGTATCAGATAATGACATGTCATCTGATACTGAATTACATCATTGGCCATCTAGTGAAGCTGATAATGATGATGATTATGACGAGTCAGGATCGTCACGATGTTGTGATCCTTACGAATCGTACGACTGGGAATGCTGAAATGAACAACACTCACATTATTAATAGAAAAAAAACATATTTGTTTTTCGTTATCGTTATGTTTTCCGTAGTATCTTGTTAAAAAAAATTAACTATTTATATCTAATATTTCTATTTTTTATATACATGAAGTATCAAGTTAAAGTTTTGATTTGCTTCTATCTATTAAACAAATGACTTATAAATCAGTGTAAGATATGATATAAGTTGGTAAGGACTTGTAACACTTTTCCATTGATTTATACATCATTTATTTAGAGATAGAGAACGTATCAAAAAACATAACTTGATAAGTCATGTACTTTTGATTTCAATCACTTTTTTTTGTCCGACAAAAATCCAACCCTTTACTTCCACGCAGTGTCGGATGGAAACGTTAATGTACAGGCTATTGTTAACGGCTAAAAAGGGCAATGGTGTACTATCGCACTAAGCAGAATAATTAAAAAATCTTTCTTGTGCGACTAACAGAGATGCTTCTAACGATGTGTATGTACATTTTAGATTAAATCTTTTATGCTACAAAGTAATATAATGGAATCTATCGAAGATAATACAATAGATTCAAAGACAAAGAAAAAGAATCACCGTGGAACTCGAAGACAGCAACGATATCGAGCTAAACAGAAGTTATGGCAACTATGTGAAATTGCTAGTGCACAAGCTGCTCATGCTATGGAAATAGAAGAAAACTTGGAGAATAGGTTAAACATGACTTTATCATTAGTATGATATATTTTTTCAATGTATACTTTCATCAATACTACTATTTATTATATAGGATAATCAAGATCATGTTGAAATGAGAGAAGAGGTGAACAAACAAGAACGAGAGCTAGTGGTGGTAACGCCGATAACAGAAATACCACATCAAATAATTGAATCATTTAGTCAGTTATCAATAATTCCACATGTCACAAGTGCTGTAAAACAGCAACGAAGAACATCCAAATATGATCGTTCTTCAAAACAACGTTCGAGACCTAAGCGAAAAAAGAAATTATCATCATCATCATCATCATCATCATTACCAGACTATTTGAATGTTCCTCATCGAATATTCAAGAAAATGTTTATTTCGGCATCAGAAAATCTATATGCTCCTCTCTCTTATGATATGATTAACCAGTGGTTAGATAATAATTCAAATATGCGACATATTCGTAAATATGCTCATCTATTAGATAAATCGTTGTATTTACAATTACAACAATCATTATGGACAGAATACTTTAATATTGGCAGTTTACCAGATGGTATTTGGGCATCGGAAATACAAGATAAAATCAATCATCAGATGACAAATAAATCTGTTACGATAGATCCATTGTCTTTTGTTACTCAATATCGAGCACATATTGAAGAACAATTACATGCAACAGAAAATGAATTAAATAAACATAGAAATCTAGTTAAGTATGTCATTGGACAAAAGTCACAAGTTCAACCAATTGATCTATCAGGGATGTTAAAAGCATTTATTCGACGAGGTCAACATAAATTAAATGCTGAATTTGAATGTAAAAAACGATTACTTCATTTCGATTATCAAGGTCATCTATTAACAAAAGCATTTTTTGATTTAAAACCTACGAAAAAACAAGTATGTTAACAACTAGAAAAGATTCTTTTGATAGTATTTATTTATCTGTTTGTTTTGTTACAGATTAGATCGGCAAAGAAGATTTGGTCTCTTACATTGAAACAGCAGATAGCTGAAGAAAAAATAACGATAATTAAACATCGTATATTTGCTAAAATAATACCAAAGACATTAGATTCAATAGATCGATCATTAGATGATATCAATAGAAGTTTACGAGAAAAAATCATTGATAATGATATACGAGCGGCATTAGTTAGTCGTCGTGATAAAATTATCGGACAATTAAAATTAGATATCATGACAATTGACATTTCAACAACTGAAGCTATAGCACGTGGTCATGCCCGATTAGTTAAAGAAGAAAAAGAAATGCTGCTGCTGCTAATATCAATTCGACATTCAGATGATGCAGATGAAACAACAAGACATAATATTATTAATGCTATACAGGCTCGTGAAGAAAATATTATTAAACGAGCACAATATGTAACAGGATGTAAAGTGTCTTTTTTCGACGAAACTCCGGCGGTGCTTATGAATTAAAACAATCACAAAAACAGCATCGTCGGAGTAAAATAAAGAATAAATTTATGACTACAAACAATAATGTACTTCCTTCTTCAGCTATTGTAGAAGTAGCTTCACCATTTCAACAAATACATTTCTTACTTTTGGCACGAGGTCCGAAATATGTTCCAAAATGTCAAAGTTACTTTAGATTTCGTACGATTGAAGATATTATTATTCGAGAATATAATAGAATGTCAACAATTATCATGAAATATTTAACAGATAATTGTGTATCAGCATCAGACGAACGAGCAAAATCATTCTTCATTTCGTTGAAAAATCTTCTTACGAATCTGTACATAACCAAATTATCTCCAAAATTATTTCATTATTCTCGACAAGAATATATGTTGACTAAAGATATTCAACGTAAATTGTATTTAACACGTCAACAAATTATCTTACGAAGAACTGATAAGAGTAAAGTATTTCATTTAGGTTCATATGATGATTATGAACAGAAAGCATCTAATTATATGATCAAAACTTGTGCTTACGAAGAAGTCATCGATGGAAAATGTCCATTATCTGATAATTTATCTTCAGTAATGGACTTACTTGATAAACTATTGAAAAGAAAAGCTATTAATGTTAAACAACGGTCTACAATGATACCTAATAGAAATAAAGTTGAATTAGGACATCTTTATTTCTTGCCTAAACCACATAAAGTAAGATCATAA